CTGAGAGAGAGAGTAATACAACCAATTATCAATACTATTATGAGTTCTCCATCTATAATAACAACAATGTAATGATGAAATAGCATATATATGATAAATAGAATGTGAAAGAGAAATCCAATAAACAACTTACATTATCTTACGAGGCCTCAACATTCAGCAACATTCCTCTCGTCTTAAAATATCGGTGATACGGTTTGATTTATCGCCGGGTGTGACTTTTTTCCCCTTTGTGCTTTACTATGAGTGTCACGTCTCCAGGGGTGTGGTGGCACTGTAGCCTCTCACCCACACACCCACATGACTCATGGTAACTGCTGCGTGGTTGCAATAATATGTCATCATTATCAGAGTCAGCCGAGCCTGCAGACTGTGGTACATACAACTTCTGAGGTTCCTGGATCTTTATTCTTCCTTCATCGTGGCTCTTCCTACTTCCTTCATCGTGGCTCTTCCTTCATCGTGGCTCTTCCTTTATCATGGTTCTTCCTTCATCATGGCTCTTCCTTCTTCTTTCAGCATGGTTCTTATTTCCTTCACCATGGCTCTTCCTTCATCATGGTTCTTATTTCCTTCACCATGGTTCTTCCTTCTTCCTTCATCATAGCTCTTCTTTCTTCCTTCACCATGGTTCTTCCTTCTTCCTTCACCATGGCTCTTCCTTGTTCCTTCTTCATGGCTCTTCCTTCACCATGGCTCTTCCTTGTTCCTTCTTCATGGCTCTTCCTTCACCATGGCTTTTCCTTCTTCCTTCTTCATGGTTCTTCCTTCCTTCTTCATGGCTCTTCCTTCTTCATGGCTCTTCCTTCATCATGGTTCTTCCTTCTTCATGGCTCTTCCTTCTTCCTTCTTCGTGGTTCTTCCTTCACCATGGCTCTTCCTTCTTCCTTCACCATGGCTCTTCCTACTTCCTTCATCATGGCCCTTCCTTCTTCCTACACCATGGCTCTTCCTTCTTCCTTCATCATGGCTCTTCCTACTTCCTTCATCATGGCTCCCCTTGTCTTCTTCACCTTGGTTCTCCTTGTCTTCTTCACGCTGTCTCACCCTGTCTTCCTCACCCTGGCTCTCCCTGTCTTCCACACCCTGACTCTCCTTTCCTCCCTCACCCTGGTCTTCCCTCCTGCACTACAAAACCTCTCTCCCTCACCCCATATTCCTTCACTACTATCCTTTTAATAAGGAACCTGACCAAGAAGGAGGACTCGAGAACACCTCATCGAAAAGGACCTCTTGGGAGCCGCCTTCATCACCTCATAGAGAATCAAATAAAGCGAGTTGATCAGATTATACAGAGACAAATAGTGAACATCAAATACAATTAATTTATTCAGGACGCTCCCAAGATGGAAACTCATTGAATATATTGAATCATATACGACGTACTCAGGCCCAGGGTAACACAGGGGGTTTAGAGGCTGAAGGATCATCTCTCTACCACAGATAATTGACTTCAAGGTAAACAAACAGGAGTGCCGACGTTATACACCAAGATTTGTCGATAGTTTTCAATAGATATCATCAGGGAGTCCGTAAACGTACTTCATAAGGTCTTTGAAATGCCAGAGAATTGAAGGGTGATAAATTGGGACGATGGATTCTCAGCTTCATAACAATTGATTGAAATATTGAATAGCCAAAGAGATAAAATCTGTTTATTTATGGTTTGAAATGGGTCGTTCCCCAGGATAGTGTGTTGGGTCCCCCGTTGTTTCTATGTATCTTACCACGATAAGAAACGTATCATTAATTCTTGACGAAATAAAATGATCAAGGATAACCTCCTCGTTTAAGATCATGAGATTATTGTAAATTAGATACCAGTGAGATTTCTTGAGTGAGCTGCTGATGATGGTAATGTGATGTGAATTGTAGTGAAGGTCCTTTGTAATCACTCTCGAGGAATGCAGGAAGTAGCGAGTTCTTATTTTAGTCTCATCTTGGGAGTCTCCACCACGCCCTGAGAGAGTCTCCACTACAGCCTAGGAGACTTTCCACCACAGCCTAGGAGACTTTCCACCACAGCCTAGGATACTTTCCACCACAGCCTGGGAAGTCTCCACCACAGCCTGGGAGAGTCTCCAACACAGTCTGGGAGAGTCTCCATCACAGCCTGGGAGAGTCTCCACCACAGCTTGAGAGAGTCTCTACCACAGCCTGGGAGAGTCCACCACAGCCTGGGAGAGTCTCCGCCACAGCCTAGGAGAGTCTCCACCACAGCCTGGGAGTGGGAGAGTCTCCATCACATCCTGGGAGAGTCTCCACCACAGCCTGGGAGAGTCTCCGCCACATCCTGGGAGAGTCCCCAGGTCTCATGCAGCCTGGGAGTCTCCCCACATCTCTGGGAGAGTCACATCCTGGGAGGTCTCTGCCACAGCCTGGGAGAGTCTCCACCAGCCAGTGGGAGAGTCTCCATCACATCCTGGGAGAGTCTCACACACAGCCTGGGAGGTCTTCGCCACATCCTGGGAGGTCCCCACTGCAGCCTGGGAGGTCTCTCCACCACAGCCTGGGAGTCTCACCCATCCTGGAGAGTCCCCACCACAGCCTGGGAGAGTCTCCATGCCTGGGAGGTCTCCACCACATCCCTGGGGAGTCTCCTGTCTCACATCCACAGCCTGGAGTCTCTGGGAGAGTCTCACCACACCTGGGAGAGTCTCGCCACAGCCAGGAGGTCTCCACCACAGCCACATGGGAGTCCTGGGAGAGTCTCCATCACATCTGGGAGAGTCTCCGCCACAGCCTGGGAGAGTCACCACATCCTGGGAGGAGTCTCCACCACAGCCTGGGAGGTCTCACTACAGCCTGGAGGTCTCCACCACAGCCTGGAGTCTCCACCACAGAGTCTCCACCACAGCAGGTAGGTCTCCACACATCCTGGAGAGTCTCCGCAGCCTGGGAGAGTCTCACACTGCCTGGAGAGTCTCCACCACAGCCTGGGGAGGAGTCTCCGCCACAGCCTGGGAGAGTCTCCCGCCACAGCCTGGGAGGTCTCACCACAGCTTGGACTCCCCCATCCTGGGAGAGTCTCCGCCACAGCCTGGGAGAGTCTTCGCCACTGCCTGGGAGAGTCTCCGCCACAGCCTGGGAGAGTCTCCAATACAGCCTGGGAGAGTCTCCGCCACTGCCTGGGAGAGTCTCCGCCACAGCCTGGGAGAGTCTCCGCCACAGCCTGGGAGCGCGGGTCAGGGCAGGTCGCGCCGCCTATTTACATATCTATTTGGACAAGATTAATGGGAGAGCGGGAGTGCCGGGTCTTTGGTCTTCGGGTCTTCCCACAATGTTTCGGGTCCGGACCAGACCGAAGCCGGACCCGCCGGCGGCTGTGTTGAGGTTCCCGCGCTGTGTTCTCCACCTGATGTGTTATTACTATGTGGTGCCGGGATGGCCCTGGTCATACCTCAGTGCCACATAGTGTTTGCCATAGTGCCACACACGTGGCACAGCCTGCTTACAAGACTAGACCCCCGAGTGCCTCGCCTTATCTGCATTTCTCAATTAATCAGGGCGTGAGGCATTAAAGATGATGGTGGAGGTGAGGAGAGGCTAGTTGTGGCCTCTGTGTCGGGGACCACAAGGGTCAGGGTCGCCTGGCCACCTCCTACACTCTCACTATATTTGATAATTACCTCCTGGGACTGTGACGTGTGGCCCAGTGTTTGATGATGGAGCTTTGTGGCCATGATAATGTGGAGGGGTATCCCGACGGGGAGGGAGGGGGTGGGTGAGATAGTCCCCCAAGCTCAGTCTTACATACATTCACATGTCACTTTGACTTAAGAGGATATAATTGCTCCCTCTAGATCTTCACCCTCGTGGCCGAGTGTTAAATGCAAGGGCTGATTCTTTTGTTATGGTGAGCCTCTACGCTGCTTTAGTCGTAACTCACAGCGTCATACACTCAACACACCGTCCACCAAGATTTACTGGATCACCGTGATGATCATCAGGGGGACAGAACGGATCAGTTTTGTGTGTGAAGTGTTAGTCATCCTTCGAATTATTGGAAATAATATGAAGAGTTGAGTTGCGTATTGATCCACCTACAGGTCCCAGCACAGGTCCTCAGGTGTCGTTCTTTAGCTCAGTCCGCGACACCTGTACCGTCCATCAGGTATATTAATTCCTAACAGATGTAAACAAAAACATTTTCAGCTTCACTTCACCCCGTGTTCAGTGGGCGTCGTCCTAATGTTATGTTAGAGAGCCCGGGTTTATTGCTGGGGGGTTAAATGTGAGTAACTTATTCGTTCATTAGCCGTGCGGGCCTTGGTAAGGCTCCGACAGCCTCGTGCACTGGGCGTGATTCATGGTCTCTGCAGGGAGGAGTGTGTCTGCATCATTAATCCAACATGTAGTTATTAAATGTCGGTGATGGTAGTGGGCGTGTGTGGGCGGGGAGAGGCGTCATAAGCCCCTCCCTCCGTGTTTTCTCTCGCTGCCCCACCAGCCACCGACACACCCCGCCCACTCCCACCCACCTCCCGCCCACTCCCGCCCAGTTCTCGCCCACTCCCGCCCAGTTCTCGCCCACTTCCAACCATCTCCCTCTGTTTGTTGACTCATACTGGTGTTTGTGTATACATGTTGAAGTGTGTTTACACAAGTTAGTGACGTGTTCTTAGTGTTTGTTTATGCAAATTTAGGAAGTGTTGTAGTTTGTCTACACGAGCTGAGCTGTGTCTACGCTCGTAAGCGATGTACCCAAGTTTGTCTACATAGCTGGGGACGTGTTAATGACTCTTTACACCAACTAACGTTTGTTTATCGATGGTAGATACGTGTTATGTTTATTGTGAGCCGCTGGAGACACTTCTGTCTCGTCTGGACTAATGGTTGTTGTTCCTCGTCGTAATGACGACTTGTGTACACGTGTTAGGGCACTTGAGGCAGACGTAATAAAGGCTGAGTAATTTTGATGATGGTGCACATAAACAATGATCTCCCGGTGTGTATAAATAACTGTGTTGACTAATTCTGTTGTCTCTATTGCTGTACAGGTCGGGGCGGGTCCCCCCCATGCTCACAGGAGGCGCTGCTGGAGGCGACGCGACTCACCATGTGGAAGCTGTACAACCAGGGACTTGGAGGAGGCGGCTTCCAGCACGAGGACGAGCCCCCCAAGCTGCCTCCTCCCCCTCACCACCCCATGGGCGGAGTGCCCTTCCCTCCCCAGAAGGAGGCGCTTAACCTCGAAGTCAAGGAAGATGTGAGTATCTCAGACCAACTGAGTGTATCGGGTGCTGTCGGTGCCCTGAACCTTGTGCATGTCCTTACTTATAAAGTCACTGTAGAAGTACTTTGAACAATTATAGATAAACAGTTGGAAGAATTGTAAACTTGTAGTCATGTATTTACATTGTTATCCGGAGAACTTAGAAAAATATAACGAAAACTTCCTCCTGTAGAGTTATACCCAGTAACGGCACAGTAACTTAAACTAACGTCAGTCAATTTGTTGTTGTTGTTTACTATTCACCATTGCATGCCAGTAGAACTTAAGTTTGATGTAAAATAACCATGTACGTAAAAAGGAGGGTGTCACAGATGCCTACCTGGCACTGTATCACTCTCCCTGAGTTTGTATCTTGTCACGTAGGAAGTGCCGCTTCTTTTTGATAACCGAGGATATCAGGCCTTCTGCTTGCAGCGGCCGGGGCGCGTCAAGGAGAGCACCGACCACCGCAACGACATGCGCAATGACATGCGTAACGACATGCGCAGTGACCTGCGCAACGATCTCCGCAGTCGCCTAGAAGAGAGTGCGATACCACCCGCGGCCAAGCGACCCGCCCAGCACGAGGACTCCCATGATCCACGACTTCCACCGCCCACCACGCCCGGACCTCCAGGACAACCAGGAACCAATATTAAGATCACATCTAGGGGTAAGTCCTCAACCTTATGGCACACACACTGTATTGTGGGGTGGGGGAGGAGGCAGGTCGGGCACCAAACACCTGTAGAGGCTGGATGTCCTCGGCCGGCCAGGTAGCGCCAACACAGATGTGAGGGCTGCCTCCCTCCCGGTGATGCTTCATCTCAGTGTTGGTCTCTTTACACTTTCTCAGAGTCCAAAGTTTCCTGCTGACGACCGTTATGTTGTTTCATTCTCTGTCTCCCGTCACACCCTTTTGCCTTTTTTTTGTCTCCTTCCTCTTACCTCTTGCATAATGCTTACCGAGGCAGCTCTCACCTTTCCCACAAGCTGTTGTATTCGAGTGTGGGTGACGTGTGAATCAGTTCGTATATTTACTTTGTAAGATTCACTTGTTTCTGGTCAGTGTGTGACAGGTTCGGGGAACACGATATCCCAGTACACATAGATGACACAGATCCCTGACATTTGTGAAGCTTCTAATAATAAATAAATCTGTTTACATTCCTTATGGTTATTTTGTATTTGTAAGCATCTTATGAAAGCTCACCAATACAACTCAATCAGTTCTTAGATCATTAACGTCAGAGAGAAACGGCGCTGGTTTTGCTGTTCATATAGATTTTTCACAAATATGTAATTTTAGTTCAGTTGTTATTTCGTTGGTGTTGGTAACATGTTGTTGTTGTGTTGCAGGGGACGGCCGGAATCAGGACCAGAGTTTGGTCGTCAGTATGGAGATCAACGGCATCCTCTACCAGGGAGTGTTGTTTGCTCAGGCACCCCGGGCTCGCTTCAGCTAAGGTGCTGCCCTCCCTTCCCACCCCACCATCCCGCCATTTCGGAAGATCCAGTCTCGCTTTTAGGGACTGTGAGTGGTACAGGGTCGTCCCCGTCCCCTTGGGGCTGTACTCTCCCTGAGGGGCTGCGGGCGGTGAATCATGGGGTGGTGCACAGCCCGTGAGGATCAGTTCGGCTGTGAACACTCGGGTCTCCCACCTTCAGCCCTGCCCTGTTGGCCAAGTGCCTCGACATTTGGCCCTCAGTTGTTACCTTGTAATAAAGTCAGTGTAGTGCTTAAAGAACATGCTGAACCCTGAATCAGGGTTACTTGTATTTATTTGTGTAATTATTTTGTCGTGTGATGATAGGTGTACAGTAATGTTCTGTGTGCGAGTAAGTGGCATAATTCCTGTTTCTCTTGTTAAGTTGTCCGGTCAGTGTAACGTAAGACAACCATGTGGTGATCTCATGAATGTAATAATACTCAAGTTGGGTGGCCGCGATGGGCCCACTCGTGCCCATGGTAGGCCGAGGTGTGGCCATGGTAAGCTGCTGTAGGTGCGGCCTGGACCTGGCCACCAGCACCTCGTGGCGGCCCAGTGCTTGTTGAAGGAAAGAGTGTAGAAGACCAGTGTATCGCCGACCACCGTGGCCGCTCCCTCGGCGGGTTGGGTGGCCATCTATCCATGACTTTTCCCCCCTGGGCAGGAGACCCACCCACTCGCCCACCCGCCCACCCATCATCATGACCGCCCACTCGGTGCAGACAATCAGCCAAGCAGTGGAGTAAAGTACACGCTGCTTCCCGCCAGTTACGTTGTTGATTGTTTGTGTTGTTTTTGGTTGGCAGATGTTGACGAGAGTTGACGCTGAGGAAGGTTCAAGGTTCCTACTGTTCTGCAATGTTGACAGCAGGACGTGACCAGATGGCCTGCCCACGGCCTTCGATACTGTTATTATTTATGTGCGACGAGGAAGAGTTTGTTGATTGACGTGAAACAAAAGTTTAATAATTCAGAGTCCGGGAAGTGTTGATAACAGTGCAATATCCTGTTACTATTACTCAAGATGTCAAAATTTATATCATGTTTGGCAGATGTTCCTTGTACCTGAACAATTGTTTGACTGAAAACAAAATTCCAGGTTTTCTTTCTTGTGACTTGTGTGTACGTCATTTTAATGCTATAACAAACAGACGTCAAATACCCAATCTGTATGCCCCACCCTCAGTATCTTATAATATTTTTTGTAATACCAATATTTTTTTTCTTCTTATTTTATTATTATTATTTTTTTTATATTACATATTTTTGTTAGGATGAACTATTTACGGTTAGTTAGTTAGTCAGTGGTTAGGTTATTTGTGTGTGGAGCGTGGCGGGTCACGTGACCAGGGCAGGTGTGCCCGGCGGGTCGCTGGTGCAGGTGTAGCATGTACAGTTTGTGTGCAGTTTACTCAGGGATCCTCATCTGTGCTCACGGCCCGCGGCTGCCGCGTGCGGTGCCGTAGCAGATGCTGCGACGCGGGCACGGCCACATCCGCGTGACAGGACGCTGCCGCCGCCTCCGCCGCGCACCCTCAGGACCCACTCCTGGCTGCGGCTGAGGCGGCGGCTGCATCGCAGGGGCTGGCGGCTCCCTGGCCAGCCCTCAGCGTAGCCAAGGGGGCCTCTATCCCCCTCCGTGGAATCTCACAGTGTCATGCTCGGGCAGCGTGTTTTTACTTTATAACTTAAACTACCAATTAAAAAAACGATTTCACTGTAGCTTTAAGGTTCTGTTGTAAATTACTTGTACGTGTACAGAGTGTACAGCTGTCCAGTGTTCTTCCTAGACCAAAGGAGGGAGGGGGGAGAGCCTAACCTGGTCCCCCCCTCCCCCTCAGGATGGATAACTGACAAGCTTATTAAGAGGCGGTAGAGCGGCAGTTACTTAAAAGTGAAACTGTATTAATAAAGTGTTAAGTAGTGAGTCTTAAGTGTTTTGTTGTTTCCTACTGTCAACACGACGCTGGCTGAATACTTTATGTATTGTGGACACCAGTAAATTTGTGTCTGCCTTCCAAGAAATAGGCCTATACTCGTTTGTTTTCCAAGGGGTAAGTTTATTCTTGTTTGCTTTTCCTGAGGGGTAGGCCTATAATTGTTCTTTCCAAGGGTTAAGTAGGCCTATTCTTGTATGTTTTCCCAAGGAATAGGCTTATACTTGTTTGTTTTCCCAAGGGGTAGGTAGGCCTATTCTTGTTTATTTTTCCCCGAGGGGTAGGCATATTCTTGTTTGTTATTCCCAAGGTGTGTGTAGGCCTATTCTTGTTTTTTTTTCTCATGGGATAGGCCTATTCTTGTTTGTTCTATCCAAGAGGTAGGCCTGTACTTGTTTGTTTTGCCAAGGTGTAGGCTTATTGTTTGTTTTCCCAAGGAGTAGGCCTATTCTTGTTTGCTCTTCCCAAGGAGTAGGCCTATACTTTGTTTTTCCCGAGGGGTAGGTCAATACTTGTTTTTTCTTAAGGTGTAGGCTTTTTCTTGTATGTTTTCCCAAGAGGTAGGTAGGCCTATTCTTGTGTGGCCTCTAGAACACGGTGTCCTTTGTAGTACGTAATTGGAAATGATATAGAAACAGTATACTGATCCAGATATCATCCTCTTCTAGGGGGATATACCCATTGTGTCTTTCCTAAGGGGAATAATCATACCATCTAGATTCTAGAGCAAGGGATATACTCACCTCTTGTTCCATCCTAAGGGGTATATCTATCCCCATCAACCCACAGGTTATACCGATTCTCCACTCAAGGATTAAATACCCTGGCTAACTGACATACCCATTTTTTTCCTCCCCCAGTATACCCATAGAAATATAACAGTACCCAACTCTCCAATAGATTTACCCATTCTATTTTCCCTTAAGTGGTATACTGTATATCCCTAAGAGTATACTGGCTCCTACACCCCAAAGGTATACAAGTCCTCCACGTCAGTATATCTAGTATATCATATAACTATCACAGTAAGATATTGTTATATACAGTATATTCATCCTCATACGTATAATCAGAACAGCTATAATACAGTAGTTATAACGGTTATAAATACGTCTAGCATAAGGGAAAAATTATAGAAACTTATGTGAAAGAATTGTTGAAAGAGAAACAAGAGAATAAAGATTAAAGAAGGAGATAGAGAGATAAACAGATGGTAATAAAAGTAAATAGGAAAGAAATATAAGTACAGTAAAGTGGAAGTAAGAAAGACACATGATAAAAGAAAAAAATATGGAAAGATAAATAGATTAGATAAAGATAATAATACAGATAGTGATAAAAATAAGAGGTTGAAGGATAGAGAGAGATAATCACACACAGGTGGGTAATAAAACTGAAGGTTTATATGATAAGTTGGGTAATAAAAGAGAGGCATAACCCGGAACTAATGACACAAGAAGAATTAAGGTAAATAAACAGAAAAATAAAAGTCTGGAAAACGAAAACAAATTAAGTAGATTACTACACTAAATGTTAATAAGATAATTGAACAAACAATTTCATTTTTGGTTCAAGATTATGTAAAAAAATACAATTATATTGATATTATATAAACAAATAAACAAAGACAGAATGGAAAACAATTATTAAATGATAACTGTAACAAAGACAAAACAATAGCAAACAAATAAATGCCCTTGAGATTAATATTACAACTAATATTTTAATTTACAGGATTTTCGTTAATAAGGAAAAATATTCACATAGTATGTATACAGTATATGATAATGTTTGTGTACATATTATGAGACAGATATCTAGTACACAGTATGGTTTATAGTACACGGTGTGGCTTCTAGTATATAGTGCGGTTTAAAGTGCACGGTGTGACCTCTAGTATGTAGTGTGGTTTATACTACACGGTGTGGCTTCGAGTATAGGTGTGGCCTGTAATATATAGTGTGGTTTATAGAACTCGGTGTGGCCTGTAGTACACGGTGTTGCCTATAGAACATTGTGGGCCTCTAGAACAGGGTGTGGCCTCAAGTATATAGTGTGGCCTGTAGTATATGGTGTGGTCTCTAGTATATAGTGTGGCTTCTTGTATTATTATACTGTGGCCTGTAGTATATGGTGTGGCCTGCAGTGCCACACTATGGTGTGGCAGTTAGCATATATTGTGGCCTCTAGTATATAGTGTGGTTTATAGTACACGGTGTAGCCTGTAGGATAGGTGTGGCCTGTAGTATACAGTGTAGCTTCTAGATATAATGTGGCCTCTAGAACACGATGTGGCCTCTAGTACACGGTGTGGCCTCTAGAACACGATGTGGTCTCTAGAACACGATGTGGCCTCTAGTACACGGTGTTGCCGCTAGAACACGGTGTTCCTTCTAATACACGGTGTCTCCTCTAGAACACGGTGTGGCCTCTAGAACACGGTGTGACCTCTAATACACAGTGTGGCCTCTATTACACGATGTGGCTTCTAGAACACAATGTGGCCTCTAGAACACGGTGTGGCCTCTAGAACACGGTGTCCTTTGTAGTAATTAGAAATGATATAAAAACAGTATACTGATCCAGAAAAAAATTATATATATATATATATATATATATATATATATATATATATATATATATATATATATATATATATATATATATATATATATTATATATATATATATACATATATATATATATATATATATATATATATATATATCAAGTAAACAACAGTGCTGATGACATGAACACCTGCACCACACACACACACACACACACACACCTGGTCAGTGGGTGCCCCCACACACACAACTGGTCAGGGGTGCCCCCCCACACACACACACCTGGTCAGTAATAACCCCCCTACACACACGTCTGGTCATTGGGTACCCCCTCCCCACACACACACGCCAGGTCAGTGAGTACCCCCCACACACGTCTGGTCAGCAGTACCCCCCACACACCTGGTGGCAGGGGTACCCCACACACACACACCTGGTCAGTGAGGTACCCCCACACACACACTGGTCAGTAGGTGCCCCCCACACACACACACATACCTGGTCAGTAGGTACCCCCACACACACATCTGGTCAGTGGGTACCCCCACACACACACACACCCCTGGTCAGTAGCTAACTCCCCCCCACACCCACCTAGTCAACACCTTACCCCTTCACAGGTAAGACAGCATCATCGCCAGTGTGTCGTGTAGTGTTTCCTGTACACTGTTGGGAGGAAACAAATTAACAAACGTGTGTAACTTTACGACACATTACTCGGGCAGGAAGTCACTTATGGACCCAGGAAACCGCAGGGTTGATCTGTGGGTGTTGTTTGTCATATAATATATCCCAGGTTATAGATTGGCTAATGTCTTTGTTAACTTAAGATTGTTTTCAGATATTTCCCGACACTAAATTGTAGATATTCTTACCACTATAAAATTAACCAAAACCAAACTTATTTGTCTTTTACGAGAAATTTTAATTATTTACTGAATTTTTTTAGTTACTGTTAATGTAAAAGTTAAAATTGTTTTGATTGTAATTATATTGTTTTTAGGAATTACTATATTGTATATGAACATCCGAGTGCTTATTGTTCTGCCTTTAAGATAAGGACAAACACACAGACACACACACAGCACAGACAGACACACAGACACACACACAGCACAGACAGACAAACACACAGACACACACACACACACAGACACACAAATCGACTGATGGCGACGGCTGCTTTATTGTTTTTGAAGAGGATAGTTAATGTGCTGTGGGAGGACCTCCTATTCTTCCTCCTCCTCCTCCTCTCTAATCGTTTCCTCCTCTTCCACCACTTCCTCTTCCACCACCCCTCACCACTTCCACATCACTTCCACAACCACCACCTCCTCCTCCTCCTCCTCCTCCTCCTCTTCCACCATACCTCACCTCCTTCACCACCTCTCACCACCACTCCACCTCATCTCCCCCACCACCACCTCCTTCACCACCCCCTCACCACTACCACCACCACCACCCCCACCACCACACTTCATCCACAAAACTCCCCCAACAACCAAGCCAACTCACCTTTGACGTGAGTGAAGTTAACCCCTCACCACCACGAGATCAATGTATCGTCCACCCTCACAACTTTTGTTCACAACTCCACCACCAACACTGCCGCTGCTCACACGGTCTTTTCTCCAGTGTTTAAAAGTTTCACCAACACCACTGTACTTTACTTTCTTAACCTGAACACAAAACAAAGTAAAATGAAAAACAAAAACAAAAATAACAAAGAAAATAAACTTTTCCTTTAAAAAGTAACAGAGAAATTGTATCTTGGTTTTATTTTTATTTTTTGGAAGTATTGATATTGATTATAATTAAAAGTTTCTGATGGGAAAGTTTAGTGTGCCTAGATGTTTTTTTTTTTAATAGTTATCTGTTGTGGAAGTAGACTTAGTGGATGATGTTTAATAACCCTGGTTGTGGTATATGCCCAGAATTATAACAACAACAACAGTCACAATGGTAACAATAACTACCACAACAGCTGCAGTAATTACCACAACGACAATAACTACCACAACAACAACACTAACTACAACACATCAACAATAATTACCACAACAACAATACAACAATAACTACCACCACCACAACAATAACAACAATAGCTACCACAACAACAAAAACGACAGCGACAATAACTACCACAACAACATCAACTACAACAACAATAACAATAGCTACCACAACAAAAACAATAACTACCACCACAGTAGCAACAACAACTACCACAACAACATCAACTACAACAACAATAACAATAGCTACCACAACAAAAACAATAAATACCACCACAGTAGCAACAACAACTACCACAACAACATCAACTACAACAACAACTACCACAACAACAACAATAACCACAAGAAGTAAAGGCTGGTAGATTCAGATTTGCCCCCGAGGGGGCTAGTTTATTGGGCA